GTGGATTTTAGAAGCAGAGGTTATGTTTTGTAATTTGAAACTTCCAAATCCTCTGGCAGACACATGATGTTGAACCTTGATTTGAAAACACTCATTGAGCGCTGCCAATTTTTGTAGCAGTCAGTTTATCTGATTGGATGTAGACTCTCAATTAAATGGAAAGAACTGGGACCTGGTCTTAATGTGCATCTTGAACCTTGGTTGTTTAATGAGAGCACCATCTGGAGCACATGTTTTGAGTTGGTGCTATGTGGTAGTGAACAATTCCATCTTCCAAACAAAAATTACTTGCTTTTTTTTTTGGCATTGTTAGGCTCCCTAATGATGGGGTAATCTTACTCTGACACTGAAGCTGTAGGTCATTTGATATAATCATTGCTTAAATGTACTGCTAGTTAGGTCTTTGATCAGGCAATTGGAGATGTCCTTTTTAGCACAAATTCATTGATCCTGAGAATCGTTGTAAGCCCATGGAACACTCACTTTATTTTTTTTTACCCTCTGGAAATCTCAAGAGTCTCTGAAGTCAAAAATAATTTTATCCAAGGGATTTTCTATCTGAGAGGACTGACTGAAAATTCAAATCAGCCCAACATTTTAATGTTGATTAATAATGTATGTAAGATTTGCATGAATTGAAATATCAGAGGGATTCCATTAGCTGGGATTGTCACATTTCTTCGAAATATTATAACCAGAGATCAGTATCAACATTTCGTGACCTGGTTTGATGGTAGTGACTTATAAGATACAGAAGCCCATCCATTGCTTAATCCAAGTGACCCTCCCCGACATTGGAAAGCCATTTGACTTTTAGATCATGCTACTTTTATACAATTCCAACCTTAGCCTGTCTAAGAGACAAACGTACCTGGGGTCTTCCTCATTGGGATACTGATAGCAGTCCCTCCACCTTCCTTTCCTTAATGGGGAATGATGCTCCTACTTGGGTCCTGCCTGAAGTCAAACAGTTTAGAACAGCCTAAGCCTGGCTTCCCAGGTACTGCTGTATGGATTGTATTTTCCATTGAACCACTGTGGGTTGCTACAATGTTTTTAAATGTTGCATTTAATTGAGCATCGCAGTAAAGCAGAATGTATAAGACCTAGAAGGAGAAGTAGGCCGTTCAGCCCATCGAGTCTGTACCACCATTCAATGAGGTCACAGCTGATCTAATAGTCCTCAACTCCGCTTTCCTGCCTTTTCCCTGTAACCCTTAACTGCCTTGCTGATCAAAAATCTGTTTATTGCAATCTTGCGTATCCTTAACAACCCAGCTCCAACAGCCTTCAGTGGTAAAGAATTCCATAGATTCACAACCCTCTGAGAAAAGAAATTCCTCTTCAACTCCATCTCAAATATGCAATTTTTTATTGAGGTTATGCCCTCTGGTCCTAAACTCTCCCACAAGTGAAACCAGCTCTCTGCATCTTCCCTGTCAAGTCCCCAGAGAATCTTGTGAATTGTTTAAAAAAAGGAAGTAGACAAAAAGCAGGTAACTATAGGCCAGTTAGCTTAACTTCGGTAGTGGGGAAAATGCTTGAATCTATCATTAAGGAAGAAATAGCAAGACATCTGGATATAAATTGTCCCATTGGAAACACCCAGCATGGGTTCATGAAGGGTAGGTCATGTTTAACTAATTTGGTGGAATTCTTTGAGGACATTACTTGCACGGTGGACAATGGGGAACCTGTGGATGTGGTGTATCTGGATTTCCAGAAGGCATTTGACAAGGTGCCACACCAAAGGCTGCTACATAAGATAAAGTTCCACGGTATTACGGGTAATGTATTGGCATGGATAGAGGATTGGTTGACCAGTAGAAAGCAAAGAGTAGGGGTAGATGGGTGTTTTTCTGGTTGGCAGTCAATGGCTAGTGGTGTGCCTCAGGGATCAGTGTTGGGACCGCAATTGTTTACAATTTACATAGATGATTTGGAGTTGGGGACTAAGTGTGGTGTGTCAAAATTTGCAGATGACACTAAGGTGAGTGGTAGAGCAAAGTGTGCAGAAGACACTGAAAGTCTGCAGAGGGATATAGATAGTCTAAGTGAGTGGGCAAAGGTCTGGCAGATGGAGTACAATGTTGATAAGTGTGAGGTCATCCATTTTGGTAGGAATAACAGTAAAATGGACTATGTTTAAATGGTTAAAAAATTGCAGCACGCTGCCATGCAGAGGGAATTGGGTGTCCTTGTGCATGAATAGCTAAAAGTAGGATTGCAGGTGCAGCAGGTGATTAAAAAGGCAAATGGAATTTTGCCTGCCATTGCTAGAGGGATGGAGTTTAAAAACAGGGAGGCTATGCTGCAGCTGTATAGGGTCCTGGTGAGGCCACACCTGGAGTACTGTGTGCAGTTTTGGTCTCCTTACTTGAGAAGAGATATACTCGCACTGGAGGGGGTGCAGAGGAGATTCACTCGGTTGATTCCAGAGTTGAGAGGGTTGGATTATGAGGAGAGACTGAGTAGACTGGAATTATACTCATTGGAATTCAGAAGAATGAGGGGAGATCTTATAGAAACATATAAGATTATGAAGGGAATAGGTAAGGTGGACACAGGGAGGTTGTTTCCACTAGCAGGTGAAACTAGGACTAGAGGACATCGCCTCAAAATAAAGGGAAGCAGATGTAGGACTGAGATCAGGAGGAACTTCTTCACCCCAGGGGTTGTGAAGCTGTGGAATTCCCTGCCCAATGAAGTGGTTAAAGCTACCTCGCTGAATGTTTTTAAGGCAAGGCTAGATAAATTTTTGAACAGTAAAGGAATTAAGGGTTATGGTGAGTGGGCGGGTAAGTGGAACTGAGTCTCAAAAAGATCAGCCATGATCTTATTAAATGGCAGGGCAGGCTCGAGGGGCCAGATGGCCTACTCCTGCTCCTAGTTCTTATGTTCTTATTTCAATAAAGTGGCCTCCATGAGGTGAAATTAACCAAAATCAAACATAGAATGGTGGAAGGCCATTCACCTTCTCAAAGCTGCTGTACCATTCTGTTTCAACATGGTTGATATAACTCTGAATTCCATTTATCCATATTTCTGCAATCATTCCCGAGCATTCCAACTTTTGACCTCGTGATAGAGGGAAGGTCATGTGTGAAGCAGCTGAAGATGGTTTTGCTTAGAACACTACCTTGAGCATCTCCAAGTAGTTAACAGTGAAACAAGTTGAAATATATAACAGGTCAAACTCAAAAGAGAAAAAGATACAAAGTGGGAGCATAATGTGGCTGTAGGAACTTTGTGGAGACAGGATACAGTGATGCAGTGAAGTGTATTATCTGAGGTTCAGAGCTTGAAATGTGAGATGTTGGAGGGACCCAGGAGGTGATTAGTGTCAGTAAAACTGATGGGCGAGACAGGTTTGGAGCAAGTTGAAACATAAGTAGCAGGAACATTGCAGAGCACTGGGTACTTCAGAACCAATTTCCAGCATCGCCATGTACAGACAAACCAAGGGTCATCTCTAAGCTGAGAAATATTTAGCTGCTTAACCTCACCTTGGCTAGTAGTGTAGTGTTTGCAGTTGTCTCTGAAGTCTCGAATGCTGTGCTAAATATTAACCATTCACAATTTCCCAAAATTATTTTACAGTAAGGTGTGTATTCTTGAACTGGAAGAATTTTTGCCAATAATCTTCTCTAACAAAACCAGTCACACACTCAGTAGAGATCGTAGACAGTGTAAAAGGGATACCTACTCACCAGGGTAGACGACCATTTTGGACATACACCTTTGTTATTTTACTTTTGGCTTTAATTTCTAGGTTTTTCTTTGCTACCTTGCCTTCTTTGGCAGCACTGTCTTTTGTGAGCCCCTGCTCAGCAGTTCAACTGGCCAAGTGTGATTCTCCACACATAGAAATTGATAGTTGATGCTGTTGAGCTATTTGGCCACTTGGCATCACAGCTAGGCTTAATCCTGACTACTTCTGTTGCTCCCATAGCAGCCTGTTCCGACAGAGGTCGGCACCAGTTCAACAGCTTTCAGTTTGTCAGCATGTTCTAAAAGTATTTTCAACAAATCAACTGTGTATGAAATATTTTCACTTCTGTAACATAGGCATTGTAGAGGGGTCTCATTGGGACAGAGATAGGTGTCCCTACCTGTAGACCAGGAGACCTGGGTTCACGTCTCACCTGTTCCAGATGTGTGTAATAACATGCCTGAACAGATTGTGCCTAGATATTTTCTAAACAGTAGACAGGTTGAGATTCCAAAAGCAGCAATTTAATGAACGACTAGTTAATGTTTCAGTGACAAAAGCAAAAACTGAAATTACTGGAAAAATTTCTTCAGAACTGGACCTGAAACATTAACTCTGATTTCTCTCCACCAATGTTGCCGTTCCTGCTGAGATTTTCTCGCAATTTCTATTTTTGTCTTAGTTTCTGATTTCCAGCATCCGCAGTTCTTTTGGTTTTCTGTTTCTTGTTTCAGTGTTGTTTCTTGAGGAATAATTATTGACCAGGTTTGGAAGAAGGCTGTGGGGTACCTTTTACGTACATCTAAAAGTTTGAAAGGAACTTTGTTTTAAGGATTCACCTGTCCTAGTGGTACTTTGTTTCGCTCTGTGTCTGTTTTTGTCTGCCTACCTTTCTTGGGACATTTTAACTATGTTAAATATAAGCTGGTGCTACTGAGAGCAGGGGATTTACATTAAGGGAAAATCTTACAAGTACCTGTGAAGTGAATCACTGGAAACAAAAGTTCCAGTTTCGGAGTTGGAAGTCTTAACAACTTTTGAAAAAGAAAACTTGATCTGATTTTCCCTTCCATTACTTGAAAACTATTGATTGCTGGTTTTCACAAGTATCCAACTTTGCATTTGCTGTTGTGCAGTTAGTGATAGCTTTTTTAAATTGGCCCCTGTCCTGGTTTTTCTGTGAGTAGGTTTAAACTGAGAAAAAAAGTTTGGTCACCTTCCCTAGATTCCTGGCTACACCAAAACAGGTGGAAGTGACACTGAATTGAACTATGTTCTTTGTTTCCAGCGCTGTGAACTCTGTCCCCATAAAGATGGTGCCCTCAAGAGGACGGATAATGGAGGTAAGAGGCATTTGTGACACTTGCATCTTTAATAGCAATTCCAGAATGAAAACGTAGAATTCACAGAATATACGTGTTCGTAAAAATATCAGAATTGTTCAGAGTAAAGGTTTTCATGAATCAATTTCATTTCTGACTAATGTGGTCATGCTGCCAATCTCTCTCTCTCATCCCTTTCTCTGGCTGTCTCATCTTTTCTTTCTCTCTCGATCTGTTTCTCCTGCTGTCAGTCTCATCTCGCTCTCGTGCTCGCGCGCCCTCTCTCTCTCTCTCACACTTGCTCTTGCGTCTCTCTTCTTTTTTTTCTGTCTGTCTATCCTCAATTCTTACTCCCTTACTCATAGTCTGTCTTGCCTTGCACTCTTCTCTTCCACTCCATGATAAGAGATGCCTAACCTCAACCACATTGTAACTTGTATCAGTCATCCCTTGCTCACCCACAGTACAATTGGGGCTGGAGATGAGAACATAGTCTACGGGTATTTAAGTCTTTTCTCCCTGCAATGTATTTGTTACTCGGTTTTGTTTTCATGGCTGTGGGATTTGATAGAGTTGAGATACAGAGCTAACTCACGTGTTTTTCCAACTCTGGAAATATTATTAGGAGGTGTACCAGACTAGATTCCAATTTTAAAGTGGAATGATTAGCTTGACCACTACATTTTTCTTTCCTTTTTCCTCTGAGAAAGTGTCTGGCCTCAGTTGGCAACTCCTCACAGAGATATGAATGGATTTGGGAGCTCGTTGTATGAGGAATGGGCATGAAGACTTGTTTCCTATCAATCAGATGGCCTCACCAGCACTCATTACCAAATTCCTTGGGCTACTTTCCCCAGTGACAGGGAGGCCTAATGATCGAAGGCCTGGAGAGGGGAGAGAGAAAAGGCAAGAGAAAGAGGGGGAAATAAGAAGAGGATGAGCATAATGATGAACACGACTGTGAAAGGTCTTGTAACTCAATGCATCATTGAGGGACTTAGCATGGGAAAATGGCATGGCCCACTAAGAGCCACCTCTCTGCCCCTGTGGCCTGGACCCCCGGAGATCCTGGGCTTTGTGAGGTAATTACCAGACCCATCCTACCTGGCTGAGCAGCTGAGCAGTGTTTGGTTGCTAACCTTTGACTAGTCGGTGTCCAATTTCTGTGTGTGAATCCAAATCCACAGAATTGCCGATTGACTCTTGGGTGCCCTTTGAAATGGCCTCTAGGTTGTATAGGGAAAGACAATGAAACCTCGCCAACATTGTCCACATTTTGTGGACGTGGAGTTGTTAGACTTGTATTCCCTCAAGGATGGAAAATTGAGGAGTGATGTAATTGAGTTGTATAAGATGATTACAAGGATAATCAAGTCAGATATTCCTCAGGCCAGGCATAATCTTAAAATTAAAGCTAGGCTGTTTAAGGCACTTAACTCAGCAGGCCTTTCTGAAAGGAGGCTTCTGTAGTTGGCAGGCAAGATCCCGTTCCCACCACCCTCCATCGTCAACACTAAATTCTGCCCATAAACTTAAATTGGCACTCAGATGCCAGGACTGGTGGCATGCTGCACTGTCTGAGGTGCTTTTGGATGAGATGTGGATCTTACCTGCTTCTCAGGAGTATGTGGATCATCCTGTTGCAATATTTGGATGAAAAAATGGGGAGTTCTCCCCAGCCAACATTTCCCCCCCTCCTCCAGTCAACTAAAGTTTCTGTAGTGATTTGTTGCAGTGCTGCTTTGTGGGAACTTGGTGTGCAAAATCTTGCCGCTGCATTCCCTACATTACAACAGTGACTACTTGTGGGAAATAAAATGTGGTTGTGAAAATCTTTGGGAAGTCCTGAGGCTGTAACAGGCACACGTGAAATGCAAGTTTCTCCGTCAATGTTAAAGAAGTGCGATAAGTGTCTTCATGTTGTATTTTTTCTGTTGTCCCCTGTCTGTAGGTTGGGCCCACGTAGTCTGTGCTCTCTACGTCCCGGAGGTGCAGTTCGCTAACGTTATCAGTATGGAACCTATTGTACTGCAATATGTTCCCCACGAACGCTTCAACAAGGTAACAGTCCACTTTCTCCTGTTAAACAAAGCCAAGGGCTAAACAGCGTTGTGTGAGGGAGATGCTATTTCCATAACCCTTAAATGATTTCCATCTGCTGTACCTCTGCAAATAACAGTCCTGACCTATTGATAACAAACAGTGGAATTTTTAAATTCCAATCACATTTAATCCCTTTTTCATCTGTTTTGTTTCCCTGCAACTTGCAAGAGTAAATCTTTTAGATACTAGTCGGATTTTCTTTTCTCCTGACTTGAATATGGTCACTCGCAGAATTTAGTTTTTTTTTAGTATAAGTTATGACTTCTGTAATTTTGCTTGTGTGGTTGCTGCTTGTGTTTGGAAGCCCTGATATTGATTAGCAGTAGTCTATTCAGACCATCATCGTCTTCTAAAGAGCTATCAAATTCATCTCTGCTGTTACTGCATTGTCCTGCAAATGTTTCCCCTTCAAATATTTATCTGTTTGCCTTTTGAAAATTACAGCAGAGTCTGCTCTCTTCTATGCACTGCATTTCAGATCAAAATAACTTGCTGCATAAAAATGTGTCTCTTCGTCTTGACTATGCTTCCATTTTCAAATGCCTTAAATCTTTGTCGCCCCCGCCACTTCAATGGAGTATGTTCTGTGTCACCAAATTTGATCCTGTCCTTCCTGATGCACATTTTCAGTGCTAGGCATTGGATAGTAATCGGTAACTCTGAAATTCCCTCCATAAACCCTTTCCTTCTTTAAAACCTACCTCTTTTAGCTTTTGGGCATCTGTTCTAATGCCACCTTACCTGACTTGATGTCACATTTTGTTAATGTTCTGTGATGGGTCTGGGGATGTTACACTATGTTGGAAGAGCTATATAAATGCAAGCTGCTGTTCAGTGAACCCACAATTACTCCGAATTCTGGTCTCCCAATGACTAGAAGCTCAGGTCATTGAGCACATTCGAGATAGAAGTTGATATATTAATATAATTAGTCTGCTTGAACCTAATGGGATAATACCACTTTTCCCACACTTGGGTAGAAGATTAACCAAGGTCTAAATTGAATGGCAGAGTATGCTTGACCGGTTAAATGTCCAATTACTATTGCTGTATTCCTCACGGTCTGTATGCTACTGTATGGCCAGTTGCATAGGAATGTTTTGCTTCCCCCTGCCCCCCATGCTTTCTTAGACCCTGTTAATAATGAGTTAGCCATTGGTGTGACTGTTTGTTAGTGACAAAGAGACCTGGTGGAGATTGTACTTGGACTTCACCGTTTTCAATATTTAAGTTGTTGGGTGCATGCCTTCCAAAGCTGCTTGTTAGCAACCAGTTGTATAACTGGGAGTCAGCTTGTGTACATTTTAGAACATCTTTTGCTGATTACATCAGTTTTATTTTTGTGCAAGGATGAATTTTGATGAGTTGAAGAAGAGGGCAGTGGTTTGAGAGCTGGGGAATGAAATGCTTTGAAGGCTTCCCAGGTCGAGAGTTGAATCAAGCGTGATGCTAACTCCTCAATACAATATGTCTTCACTTAAGATTGTAGCAGAACTCCCAAGCGTCACAGCTTTAAATGAAACTCCAGTTCAGATAAGAACCGAAGTTCTAATTGTGGTCAGTTCTGTAGGATGTTCATAAACAGAAAACAAAACACATTTAAACTTTCAACCCTGCAAGTTGAAATATTTTGCATCGCTAAATTTCTACAATGATAAATGAAATAGCTTCAAAAAGTAATGAAAAATGATACAACCTGCTACCTACATTGACAGGTATTTCCTCACTAAGTGATCCTACTTCCTTAACCTCTTGCTTATTGATCTTCCTGATCACTGCAAATGCTCCCTGCTCCTCAGCCCTCCAAGTTGTGGTCTCTTGCCCACTCTCCAAATTCAGAGTTGCACCCTTTCACCACTTGCCTCTCCTGGGCCCTCACTGAGTGTGGTCCTGGAAGAAAAGCAACATGGCAGGAGCAGCTTTGAAAGTCATTTTTTAAAAAAAATGTCAGGTGGATTGTAAAAGCACTGAACCATCACAGACTCTCTCAGATTGGACTGAATGCAAGGCCTGGGGAGAGAAACAATGAGAGAATGCATAGGGGAGGGAGAAGAGATCACAAATCTGAGGCTGTTGAGTGAGGGAGTGGCTTCAACTTGGAGGTCATGGAGTGGGGAAGTACAGAATCAGGTCACACAGGAACACCATTAAATCCAGATTGCATTAACTTCTCAATGTTAAAGTTCAAGGAGGATTTTCTGTACTGTACCTCAGGCCCAATCTCACAGCAGCACTCCCCAGTGGACCAACAAAACAAAGAAACCTTGCATTTCCATAGCACCTTTCACACCCTCAAACCGTCTCAAAATGCTTTACATTCAGTGTTTTTTGAATTGTTGTAGGAAACCTGGCAGCAAGTGCAACTCTTTCTCGCGTCCCCCAAACCCCTCACATCAGTATTTTAAAAAAATATTAATTAATGGGATGTGAGTGTTGCTGGCGAGGCCAACGTTTATTGTCCATCCCTAACTTGCCCAGAAGGCAGTTAGGAGTCACCTACATGTTATGTAGGCCAGACCTGGGTAAGGTTGGCAGATTTCCTTCACTAAAGGACATTAGTGAACCAGCTGGGTTTTAACATCAATCATGAATGGTTGCAAGGTCGCTATTAGACAATTAGTTTTTAATTTGAGATATTTTATTGATTTTTAAATTCTACCATGGAGGAACTCGAACCCTTGAACTGTGGTATCGTGTTCTGGATTACTAGTCCGGTGACATTGCCACTACACCATCCCATCCCCATGCTGATAGGGGAGGTCAATGGTATTATCCCTGGACAGTTAATCCAGAGACCCAGACAATGTTCTGGGGACCTGGGTTCGAATCCCGCCATGGCAGACGGTGGAATTTGATGACCGTGAATCCATTGTCGATTGTTGGAAAAACCCATCTGGTTCATTAACGTCCTTTAGGAAAGGAAACTGCCATCCTTACCTGGTCTGGCCTACATGTGACTCCAGATCCACAGCAATGTGGTTGACTCTGAACTGCCCTCTGGGCAGCTAGGGTTGGGCAATAAATGCTGCCTGGTCAGCGACGCTCTCATCCCATAAAGGAAAAAAAAATTTAATGAGGTAATTAAGGACAGTTTTGTGAGCGAGCTATTAACAGGCGGTTTTGCTGATTGATTGTTTTGGACAAAATGTCTGTTGTGCCTCTGTGACGGAAGCTACTAGTCCCAGACCAATAGCGTGAATGGAAATGAAGCTCGTTGTGTGTTGATGACATTGAGAATTGACTTGTTGCTGTCATTCCCTTGTCTGTTCTGGTTCTAGACCTGTTACCTCTGTGAAGAACAAGGTCGGGAGAGCAAAGCGGCCACAGGAGCCTGCATGACCTGTAACCGGCATGGGTGTCGACAGGCCTTTCACGTCACTTGGTGAGAATATTTTGAAACATCACTGGAACCTTTCTTCTTCACCCCGAAAAAAAATCACGTTTTCACCCGCACACGCTCAAATGTTTACCTGAAGAGATGGCTGAACTCTGTGTAAGAAGCGCCGAAGAATATATATTTCTTAATATTGGAGATGGGTATACAGAGCCATGCAAAGCAGATATATAAGCATACGTGTATTACAAAATAGGAGCAAAGGTACACTGTTCGCCCCTCGAGATCCCTTTAGTAAGATCGTGGAAGGTTTGAATCCCACGTTCCCGTCTAGCTGTAGGACCATAACGGTAGAGTAGGCCATTCAGCCCATCAGTTCTGCTCTGCCATTCAGTGGAATCATGGCTGATCTGATAATCCTCAGTTCCACTTTCCTGCCTTTTCTCCATAACCCTTGATTCCCTTCCTGATTAAAATGCTCTCTGTCCACTGATAAATTTCAGTTCCACGGCCTAACAAGAATCTATCCACCATGGTCTTAAAAAATATTCAGTGATCCCACCTTTACTGCCTTATGAGGGACAGTGTTCCAAAGTCACGTAACTCTGACAAACTGATTCTCCTCATCACTATCCTGAAAAGGCAACGCCTAATTTTTAAAACAGGTACCCCCTAAGTCTGGACTCTGGTGAAAGATGACCCTAATCACATCCACCTTGTCAAGACTGTTCAGGATCTTATACATTTTGGTCAAGTTGCCTCCTCGCTCTTGTAATAGGGTCCCTTTTAAATATTCAGGTTGTACTCTGATAAGATAATCTAGGCTAGACTATGCTATTTCAACTGCTGGTTTTAACAGAAGCAATTGGTGAGGGGAGGTTGAGGAAGCTATCGCCATTGAAGGGCCTGATTAAGTATCTTTTAAAGCCTTTTCTTTTGTGACCTGCTTCGACCTCCCTTGGCCCCCCACCCTTGACTTAGGCTCACTGACCATTGCATGCAGTAGAAACAAACGCAGCCAGTCCAACCATTCCTTTAAGACACACCTCATCCAGACAGCAATCTAGAAAATCTCATCCGAACCCCCCTCCAACGTATTTACATTCCTCCTTAAATAAGGAGACCAAAGCTGCACACAATATTTGAGATGTAGTCTCACCCATGCCCAGTATAGCTGAAGCGTAAAAGCCTTCCTTTAATGTTCAATTCTTTTGTAATAAAGGATGGCATCGCAGTAGTAGAACACCTAAATTCCACTGCATCTCGGAATTCTGTTCTCATTCTCCTTTTAAGTGATATTCTGCTTTTTATTCTTCCTGCCAAAGTGAACAAGTTCACACTTTCACCAGATATTTGCCCACTTACTCAACCTATCCATAATCAGCTGCAACTTCCTTGTACCATATTCACAATACACATCCCTGTTGAGGTTGGTTGGCTTGCCGAACTGGTTTGTTGTTCTGCAGACGTTTCTTTACCATGCTGGATAACATCATCAGTGCTTAGAGACCTACGGGTGTAACACGCTCAAATTGGCACGAAAATGGGAAAACTACGCCAAACGAGAGAGCGCAACCCGCGAACGCCTCTACTTCCTACATGGATGCCTCAGGAACCAGGTATTACCACGCAGTGTGACATACAAACAACCCACAAGCCCACAAAACAGCAGAACAAAACGGCCGCAAGATGGTACGGGTAATGATAAATGACGCACACAACCGGTTCCACAGATACAACAGAGAAATTACGTGTCAAAAATCTTTATTCCTGGAAACTACTGGTGAAGACCGGACAATGGACATGGAACGAGCCATCAACATCAGCCAACAGACCACAAGAGCCAAGAAAAGACAGACCCTTCAAGACAAGCTAACCACACTTACCCACAAAAATGACAACACCAGAACAGACCCGAACTAAATACCCACTCCCCGCCATGGACAGAACCAATGTCATCTATAAGATTCCCTGTAGAGACTGAGAAACACTACATTGGACAAACAGGAAGGAAACTAACAACAAGGGTACATGAACACCAACTGGCTACAAAAAGACACGATCAATACTCACTCATCTCAATCCACATGGATAAGGAGAACCACCAACTCGACTGGAACAACACCAAAATCCTGGGACAAGCTAAGCAGAGAAAGGCACGGGAATTCCTAGAAGCCTGGCATTTCACAAAGAAAGCCATTAATAAACAAACAGAACTTGACCCCATATACACTCCACTACAAAGGAAAACCGGAAGTGAGGTAATCCAGCTCACCGGACTCCAGAGTTTTAAAAACCAAGCGGGAAGACACACAGACGCTTCATCAGAGGCTGCACTGATGATGTTACCCAGCATGGTAACGAAACGTCTGCGGAACAACGAACCAGCTCGGCGAGCCAACCAACCACAACACCCCCAACCCGAGCTACAAATCTACTCTAAAACCTTAAATATACATTCCTATCAATCTCGGTGTCATCTGGGAATGTCGATACCATGCCTTTTGTTCCCCTCCTCTAATTATGTGTAGGGAATGGTGCCACTTTTTTGGGGAATCAAAACCTTACAAGGGTCCGTGAGTACAAAATAGTGATTAATAAATCCAATAGATGTTTAAAGAGAAAAGTTCCTTCATCAGAATAGTCAGAATGTGAAACTTTCACCAGAAGAAGTGGCTGAGGCAAAGAGTTTAGATTATTTAGGTTAGAAAAAGAAATGAGATGGCCTTTGAGTAAGATGAAATATGAAAAAGTTTTATTTTCAAAATCGTTTAATGTATGTGGGCATCAGTAGCTAGGCCAGTGAAAAAAGCTGTATGGAATGAGAGGAGACTCGTATGGAGTATAAAGACCAGTAATGACTTGTTGGGCCGAATGGTCTGTTTCTGCGCTGTATAATTTCCAATAATGTTTGAAATTGCTGAATTCTCGGTAGCTAAGTGCCACAGAGAGGTAGACATTGATGTTTTCTTTTGGGCAAGTGGGTCTCTATTTTAACCACTACACCTTGTCTGTCACAAATGGGGTGGTGGGGAGCAGAGCTGGAGTGGAGTGGTTGCTGTGCTCACACCTTTCCTGGTCTGGCAGCAGCTGGGACAAAGGCATGTCATAGAGATTGACAGCACAGAAAAAGGCCCTTCGGCCCATCAAATCTGGGAAATGGAACCCTTTTTTAAATAGGGTCCCTTTTAACTATTCAGGTTGTACTCTGATAAGGTAATCCAGGCCAGGCTATGCTATTTCAACTGCTGGTTTTAACAGGGGCAATTGGTGAGGGGAGGTTGAGGAAGCTATCGCCATTGAAGGGCCATTTTAAAGCCTTTTCTTTTGTGACCTGCTTAGACCTTCCTTAGCCCCCACCCTTGACTTAGGCTCACTGACCATTGCATTATCATCTACTTAATTTTAAACTTAATTTTAAATTGTTCTCAAATTCATCCACCCCTCCCCCTTCATCTCAATTTTTTTTCCTTTATTCATTCACGGGATGAGGGCGTCGCTGGCTAGGCAGCATTTATTGTCCATCCCTAATTGCCCAGAGGGCAGTTAAGAGTCAACCACATTGCTGTGGGTCTGGAGTCACATGTAGGCCAGACTAGGTAAGGATGGCAGCTTCCTAAATAACATAAGTGAACCAGATGGGTTTTTCCAGACAATGGATTCACGATCATCATTCGATTCCAATTCCAGAAACTTATTGAATTCAAATTCCGCCATCTGCCATGGTGGGATTCGAGCCCAGGTCCCCAGAACATTATTTGGGTCTCTGGATTAACAGTCCAGTGATAATACCACTAGGCCATCGCCTCGCCCAAATCTTTGTAGTCTTCTTCAGTTGTACCATCCTCCACAACTCTGCGCAGCTCCGATTTTGGCCAATTTTACCCAAGCAACCCCTTATAATGTGTAAATTAAACCCAGATTCCAATAGGTCAGGGGAACATAATGAGGCAGAAAGAAACAGAAGCTTATACTGATCCAGTAAAATAAAAAGGACTTGGAGAAGTATCACATGAAGAATAAATACTAATATTTCTTTGTTAATTAATCCTGCGATGTGGGTGTTGCTGGCTGGGCTAGCTTTTATTGCCCATCTCTAACTGCTGTTGAGAAACTGGTGATGACCTGCCTTCTTGAATCACTGCAGTCCATCTGGCATGGTGACACCCATGGTGATGATGGGGAAGGGTTAGGGAATGGTGAGTTCCAGGAATTTGGCCCAGCCATATTAAAGAAACATCCTTAGAGCACTAAGTCAGGATGCTGCCTTGGAGGAGAATGTGTAGGTGAAGGTGTTCCCATGTTTCTTGTGTCCTTGTCCATTTAGGTTGTAGAGCACCTAGGACCCAGATCTCTCTGCTTCTCCAATTCTGATCTCTAGCACATCCCCAGTGCTAATCGCTCCACCGTTGATCGCTGTGCCCTCAGTGACCTAAACCCCAAGCTCCTAAAATCCTTGTCTAGATCTGTCTACCTCTCTAGTTCTTTCTTCCTTCAAAATATTTCTTGGAACTTGCTTCTTTGGTCACCTGTCGTAATCTCTCCCATTACGTGGTTTCGAGTCGAACCTTCTTGGAAGTGCTCCTAATAAAGTGCCTTGGGATGTTTTACTAGTGTGCTATGAAAATCTAAATTGTTGTTGTACTCAAACTAGTCCTAAGTAATGGCATTCCAACACTACACCCATCCAAATTCCATCTCTCACAGCTCATGTAAGCACAGCGTTGGAGCCTGTTATGAATGGGAGCCAGGCCTGTCAATGAAATGTGCCTTGATAGTTATTATCTAACCAGATATTACCATACAGGCTTGCAACTCACCCACACTCCCTCACACAAAAGGAACTTATCACATCTCCTCCAATTAATATTCATGCTCTAGATTTGAACTGGGCAACATACAAGATATATAGGATCTTTAAGATCCCAGGAGAGGGATTGGCATATTGGAAATGTCACTGGGCTAGTAATCGAGGGGCCCCGGCTAATGTTCTAGGGACATGGCAGATGGATACAATTACAATGTTTAAAAGACATTTGGATAAGTACATGAATAGGAAAGGTTTGGAGGGATATGGGCCAGGAGCAGGCAGGCGGGACTAGTTTAATTTGGGATTATGTGCGACATGGACTGGTTGGACCAAAGGGTCTGTTTCTGTGCTGCGTGACTCTCTGTGAAATTTGAATTCGATAATGGAATTAAAAGCTCAGTCTAATGGTGACCATGTAACTGTTGATTATCATGAAAAATCTGGTTCTTTGAGGAAGGAAAACTGCCTTTGGCTGCTTTGGCCTACGTGTGACTCCAGACCCTCCGGAAATGTGATTGACTCTTAACTACCCTCTAAGTGCCCTATGGCAAGCCATTCCATTCAGGGGCAATTAGGGATTGACAGCAGATGTTGTGCTTGTCAGCAACGCCCGCATCCCATGTCAGAATTTTGAAAATGAAATTAATTTGGACTAGTTTCAGCTTTCTTCCTCTCTTGGCTCACAGCACAGAACCGTACTTGATTCAGCAATGAATTAATGACGTCAGTCGCTTGGCCAGTGCAGGAAATTATAACATTTGGGAATGCTGCACTGAGCTCAGTGCTGAGGTACAGTATTGGGGAATTTAACTCCTCATCTGGCATGGGCAATGCTGGAATGTGTTTCATTCTCCAACACTAACTTCACTCGTCTCACTGCATCAAGGATCCCATTGCTCAGATTGAAGTAACGTAGCCATTGAACATTGATCCACAAAAATACATGAAGAGTAAGCTGAGTGCAGTACCACCACGTTATGGAAAGTTATGGTTCATAATTGGATTGCCTGATCAATTTCTCTTGAGCACCATGCTCTGAATTTCTGCTGGACCTTGAATTAGAACCACAGGAGGAATCTTTTGCCTTTAAGCTGTCAGCATTCAAAGTGTTAATGTGTACATTTCAGTAAGAGTTCATAAACTTGTCATCACCTACTTAACGATGATAACAGATTCAACAGCAATGTACATTTATATAGTGCCTTCAAGGTAGAAATATATCCCCAAGGCACTTGTGTTCGGAGCAAAGCCTGATAGGCAACTGAACATTATTGGCAAAGCAATATCTTACTGTCTAGATTTATTGATCAATCCATCTACTGTTCTGTGACCTAATACTCTGTCCCCCTGGACTTTCAGGTATTTTAATGTCTTACTCCAACTGGTGATTTGGCTTGGTTCGCTGCTCTTCTGAGTTAGGATTTCTCTCCACATCAGCCTCTCCCTTTCCTCTACCTCCTGAGATTTCATCCTGTTATTTGAATTCCCCTTCATTTCTTCTTCTTCTTCTTCTTCTTCATCTTTCACTTTGCCTCCAGCCAGTTGCCCTGATTCTCCTCCATTTCTCTTCACCATCTTAAGACATCCTTGGGACATGCAGCTGAAAAAGGGTCACTTAATATAGGTGTTGCTCATTTGTGTGGCTACTTGATACATTCGTCAGCTCTGATCTGATGCTGGCCAGGGAGCACTGTGAAGCCAGCTGGCCCTGGGATGTTCAGCAGTTTGATGGTTATGGATACTGGTTCTACAACTGATGTCTGTGATGTTTTCCTCAGCGCTCAAATGGCTGGCCTATTGTGTGAAGAACAGGGCTCGGAAATCGATAATGTAAAGTACTGCGGTTACTGCAAATACCATTTCAACAAAGTGGTAAGTCAGTTTAATAATTCGACACTCGGAAATTTAATTTCTTTTTCCATCTTTCTCCCTGACCCCCTCATTCCCTGAAGGTTTGGCTGTAGGTTCCACAAGCATCTTCCAAAATTGGCCACAAATGTTAGAAAGAGATTTGAGCCCTTCACAGCCAAACCTGATCCTGACTCCTGAGCCAAAGTGCACACTTCTGTCAAAGTTTACTGGATAGCAATCAGAAATGAGAGCACTACCCAGTATTGCCTTACCTGACCAAGCGATATTGATCTCTCTTTTATGTTAACCCTGCTTTGTATTAATGCTTCGTTCAGATATGATCTTGACCTGTTTAGCTAGGCTCTTCGCTGCGTAAAGTTTGTAAACATTTGAAAGAATGTATTGGGATTTCTTTACATTGTTTAGTTATCCTCCTACATTGGACTTACAGTAATTGTTACTGTCCTGTGTGTGCACCTGTCCTTATCACAGTGGCGTTCTGGAGAAAACTGACTGAAAGTCACTTAATAAAGCTGAGATCATTCGGAACCCTGCTACCCATGAGCTAACTTGCACTCCTGTTTCCCTTTCACCCATGTGCTCACTGATCTGGTGGCTTCAGTTAAGGATTGCCTATTTTAAAATTCTCATCCTTGTTTTTAAATCACTTCATGGCTTCATGCCTCCCTAAAACTGTGATCTCCTCCAGCCCCAAGATCTATCTATCTAATCTGGCCACTTGAGCATCCCTGATTTTAATTGTTTCATCATTAGCAATTATGCCCTCAGTTGTCTCAACTCCAAGACCTGGAATTTCATCCCTCGACCTTTACTACTTCACGCTTCTTCAAGCCAGTGCTTAAAGCCTACAACGTTGACCAAACTGTTGGACCTCTGTCCTAATATCTCCCAACATGGCTTGACATCAAATTTTTTTTTGGTAACAATTGAGTGAAACACCTTGGTGCATCTTGCACGTTAAAGGTGCTAGATAAATACAAGTTGCTGTTGTGTTAAATATTTTCTGTAATAAAATGCCCCGAGGCTTTTCTTGGGGGCAGAATGATAGAATGACACAAAGTCAAAGAAGGAGATATTGGCAAAAGTGTTGTCATAGCTTGGCCAAAGAGACAGGTTTAATGGAGCAATTTATAGGATGAGGGAGAGCTGGAGAAGAGTGTTAGCTCAAAGCCCGTGGGGCCCAGGGCAGTTTGGCAGATTGGACTTTAAATTAGCTTAGTGATAGGAGGTAGAGGGTAATGGTCGAAGGTTGTTTTTGAGACTGTAAGCCTGCGCCCAGTGTAGGTCCTTTGCTGTTTGTTGTGTACATTTAATGATCTAGATACAAATGTGGGCAGTCTGATTCATAAATTTGCAGGTGACACAAATTGTTTGGGTAAATAGCCAGGAGGAACACCTTTGACTACAAGGCAATATAGATGGGTCGGTCAGATGGATAGAACAGTGGCAAGTGGAATTTAATCTGAAAAAGTGAGATGATGCATTTTAGAAGGACTAACAAGGCAAAAGAATATGTGATAAATGGTGGGACCCAGGGAATTAACAAAGATCAGAGAGACTTTGATGTGCACCTCCTCAGATCCTTGAAGGCAACAAGGTGGGTAAATAGGTGATTGAGAAGGCATGTGGGATCATTGCCTTTGTTAGTCAAGGCATTGAATACAAGAGCAGGGATGTTATGATGGAGCTATGTAAGGGATTATATCGGCCACAGCTGGAATATAGTGTGTAGTTGAAGTGACCAAACTATAGGAAGGATGTGATTGTTCTCGAGAGATGCAGAGGATATTCACCAGGATGTTGCCTGGGCTGGAGTTTTGCAGCAATAAAGAGATTAGATAGGCTCAGATTAGAACAGAGACAGCTGAGGAGGGGCTTGATTGAGGTTTATAAAATTGTGAGAAGCATGGACATTTAGGTAGAAAGGAACTTCCCCTGTGTAGAGGCGTAAGTTACTAGGGAGCATAGGTTTAAGGTAAATGGCAGGAGGTCCAGAGGGGATTTAAGGAAGTTTTTTTTTCACACTGCAAATGCGGGGAGGGAGGTATCTTTAACTCACTGCCTGAAAGGCTGGTAGAGCCAGGAACCATCACAACATTTAAGAAGTATTTAGATGAATACTGGAAAACAACATTCCTTCAAGGCTATGGGCCAAGTGCTGGAAAATGAAACTAGAATAGGTGGGTATTCGATCACCAGGCAGACATGATGGACTGAAGGGTCTCTTCCTGTTCTGTAAAAGCATCTATGTCCGTGACTCTGAGGTGGGAAATCCCAGAGCTTAGGACCTAGAGAGCTGAAGATACAGCCATCAGTGTTGGGACAAAGCAACTGATGGCAGGGAGGATGCATGCAAACGTGAAGCAGATGAGAGACTTGATGCTCATCACTTTGTGAAGCTGGAGAAGGTTACAGTAATAGCAAGGAGAGACATCATGACGTGATGACACATATATCTGAGACACTGGAACCAACACAACACCTTAACTTCTGAACGTTCACCTTTGCTGAATTACTGGAGGAAGGCTGACTCAATTGGAATGCCAATCTGCTCTCATTTCTGATTGCTATCCAGTAAACTTTGACAGAAGTGTGCACTTTGGCTCAGGAGTCAGGATCAGGTTTGGCTGCGAAGGGCTCAAATCTCAAATCTCCCAATCTGCCTAAATATTTCACACTTCTAAATTGGTTTGAAGAGTGTGAATTCAGTTTGAGGCTGGAATCTTAGTGTTGTACACAGATAGCGATTGCCTGATTTGATTCCCAGCCTGTCTTCTGTCAACAGGTCACAGACAGGGCTACCCGTTTTAAAGTCATGGAAAAGTTGATTCTTGTGTGGAATGGAGGGACTGTGAAGCTCCCAATGATGTAATTTATTGTTGGTACTTACATACAAGGAAAGGTATATAGACCTTATTCAGTCTTCCTGTAGAAGATGTGAGATTGAGTGTCGGATGTATATTAACCTCTATGGGGAGATATAACAGTTGATTGTATTTTCTTCTGTTCCCTTCTGCAACCACCCACCCCCCATCACATGTCAACTCTCCAGCATTGATCACAGAATGGCAGCGCAGACTGAGAATCTTGACAGTTCCCCTCTCGTGAGGGCAGTCATACCTCTACCAAGCTGACACGATCTCGGTCAGAGGAGTGAACCTTCTTGGGCAATGCAACTGGTGCCTGAGCTGAATGGTGTCAATTAAAAGGTCCCTGTGCAATGAGTGAGCTGCTTGCTTGCTGCAGGGCAGACTGATGAATGCATGACTTGAACGGAGCGGTTTCGAAATAATAAAAAAGGAAAGTGACTTGAGAATGTACATGGAAGTGTTTTTCAAAGTATCTGCTGGAAGACGTGGCTGTCTTGAGATTAATGACTGCCATATTCCACCATCTGCAGTGGAACCTGTTTATTCTCTTGAAACTTGCGTTTGAGTCCATTTACTATCTTTGAATTCCAAAATGCCAAACCATTTCCTATTCACTTCGTACTGAGTACCAGATGGCTGGATGTTAAGAGGCCTGTAGCACAGATGCAGAAAGTTCAACATAACTGCAGCAGCAAAGCTTTTCAGGTCAATTAACAACATGCGAACCAAAACATTTTGGGTTCAAAATGCATCATTATATTTTTTTCTTTGTTTTCATTCCCTTACTCTTTCCTCTGTCTGTTAATTTGACCTGCTGTTTGGTACACTGACAATTGTTAAACAGAATGATATCAAATGAGGAGGACAGTAAGAGTCCGTGTTGCCGGATAGCTTGGTGCTGCTGTTAATACTCCACTTTAAGGCTCCTTCTGCCTGCCTTTATGGTAACCTATCAGCGTATTCCTTAATTTAATTCTTCCCCCAAACTTCCTTTTAAATACACTATACTCCTTGCCTCAGCTTACTTTGTGGTAGCATGTTCTAATTTCTTTTGGGCAAATAAATGTTGCTGCTGATTTGGATATATTGCTGGTAATCATATATTTAAGATCTCTCCGATTCTCGTATTTACCGCCAGTGGAATCATCATCTGTATTTCCAACTTAGCAAAGCTACCCTTTCATCATTCTAATAACAACTATTAGGCTATCTGCCCTTTTTGAGCAGGAACGCGGTTGTGCCTGTTCAGTCTTTGCTAATGATTATAATCTCTTTGTCCTGTGTCATTCCCAGAATTTTTTCCCAGTGCCGCTATATCCTTTTTCTGTTCCTGTCTGAGCTAGAACTGTGGGTACCAATGGGCTACACCTAATGCTGCCCAAAATTCCAAGGATATATTCAACAGTGTTTGCTGCAAGATGACTGGAAGCTGGAACCTTGGCTGATCTGTGCATTCTTTCCCTTTCATCATTTTACTCTGGAAACACCAAGACTTTGATCTTTGCCTGTGATTAGTCCTGGGATTCTCCTGGTCTTGGTGGTTAGTTTGTTTATTTAATGGTGCCCTTTATCAATCTTGCTGTAAGTGCTCAGTTATTTTATCAGACAAATCCTAGCCCTGCTGTTCTATAAGTGTCTCTTGAAAGTGGAATAGGATCACACGAGGTAGTTAGGAAACAAAAATAGCAGGACGTTTCCCGCTTGTCTGAGACAGAATTCCTGTGAATAATCTTTTTGCTGCAGTTCAAGGTTATCTTTCTCTTTCAGCTTTTCCCATGTTATATGGATACATTGCAATGCTAATTGATCACGTTCATATCAATTGTTGTGTTTTATTTGTGGACTTGGGTGGTTTTACAGCTGGGTTCCTTTCCTGATGCCAACCCTCCCATTGATCCAGTCAGGGCACTGACACTGGTTACACCAACTTGCCTGCACTCGTGGCTGGATTATTTTGCACACAACTACTTGTGAAGTGGAGCTTGAACCCAGATGTTGTAAAGTGCTTTCTAGCCATTGAAGCTCTTTTCGAAATGCAGTCTCTGTTGTTATTTAGGAAATGTAGCAGCCAGTTTGCGAACAACAAGCTCCTAATGCAATAATGAGGTAATTAATTTTACTCGCTTGCTGGACTTGTGTCAGTACAATGAGCTGCTGGATGATATGTATGATAGGATTTGTTTTCACAGCTCACTGTTTATACCTAATTACAGGCTCCAAGTCACACAAGTGATGATGGCCCTTTGTGCCCTCTCCTACCTATGACTCTTTCTGCATTTATGAACTGGCCAAATGAAGTCACGAATTGCCACAAATCAGTATTGAGAAAGCTATCTACATGGTTCCTTCACACCGTTAAGGCCATACAGGACTTGCATTTTAATAACCATGCAGTGTCCATGTGCTCATCCAACATTACTACGCTATTCATCAGTATACCACTCAAAGAAGCCATAGCCAGCTGCACTGTAGCACCATATTGTGGCAATCCAGACCCCCACCATTGACAGGATTGGGATTCATCAAACATATGAACCAGTAACTCACTAAATCTGAACTCAACTTCGTGACACAGTGTCTGCCCAAATAAATGGAATCCCCCAATAGACTCAACTTTTGCAAACTTCTTTATTGGATTCATAAAGAGTGTGCTTTCAGTGGGATGATACCTTACTTGCTACCCTTTGCATATTTTTGATATGTAGTTGATATATTTATTATGTTTAGAATTTTCTTGCATATCTTCATGAGTTCCACCCTGTGCTCACATTCATTTTGAAATGAAACAATTGAATGAGCTCATTTTCCTCAATGTTCTAGTTCAGCAATTAGCCAAAGGTTTTTCTTTCAGTACTGTGTACTGCAAACCTACCTCACTGATCAGTGTACGCTTTGGGATTCCCACAATTCCACATGCTGTATGATTGGCCTTATCGGGAACCTTGTAAATAGAACCCAAGCCAAGTGTTCACCAGGATGCTTGGTGGTGAAATTGGGCCATCAAAGCCTTCTTGCAGATAATGCCTACCCTAATTAAGGTTAATTCTCACTATTTATCATGCAATCTCATGACCGAGCCTATGGTCATTACTTTAAGTCCCAAAAATTCCCTGTCTACCTTTGATTACTCTGAAAGCGTAAGGTATCTCGAATGTTTGAGCACCAGGTGAAGGTAGCTATTTCATGCTGTTACTATACTAACAAGAAGTTTTTAAACCAAAAAGATATTCACACAAATAAGTAATGTACTCTGAATTTCATTGCTGGAATGATGCTAGATATATAAGCCGTATGTTTCAAAGCCTGATGGGGCTTATCAAACAGCATTTTGCTTCAGTTGTTTGCAATAAGCAATATACTGACCTTAGCCAACCAACTCATACTTGTAAAACTTAAAAGACACTATCCAGTGTTAGATGAGATACTGTGATTACAACATTTGCTAAATAGTCTCGAGTGTGCTAAGAATTATATTGACAACCAATTTGAGATTGTCAGCCAGATTTGCAGTGTGGTGAATTGAGCTTCCAGTAAATGCACCAATAATTAATAACCAGGGCTACCTCCTTTGCAAACAGAATGAACACGTACTTACATTGCACTTATTTTAATAAACCAGTTAACAACCATTCTCTGGTTCATAATGTAGAACCATCATAGCTAACCTGTTTGGTTAAAATTTAAAGAAAGCTTGGCAATTAATTGTCATTCATCATCTAAACTATTGCATTCTTCATGGTAATGTTTCCACCAATCAGAGTCCATTTGCCAATCAACCAACACAGTCTTCATACAGTATAAATGTTGTTTATTCTTTACATGATTATTCTTACGAATTATCCTGATGGGTGCAAGCAAGTTTCTTTTTTCCTCATGCAGTACCCATTTTTAGATGTTGGTGGAGGGTTAAGTATCAGAAAGGATTCCAGGGGGATTACGGTGATCATCTTCGAGATGATACCATATGATCTTTTACATCTACTTGAGAGGCAACTGACCTTGTTTTGATCAGCTGAAAGCCAGCATCTTCCAGCAATGCAGCACCCCTTCAGTAGTGCAGTGGAGTGTTCCCTTCAATGTTATGTGCAAGGATCCGCCAGCTGGGCTTGAACCCCAACCTTCTGACTTGGGAGCAAGAATACTACCAAGTGAGCCACAGCTGGCATTGTTCACGTTGTTGCAGAAATCATCCTGTTCCTTGGTGAGGAACTGGTTGGATATTCTTTGAATGACCAGGCACAGGTACGATGGCCTGAAAGGATCCCTTCTGTGATGCATGATTTTATGATGCGACACATGATTATTTTAAAACTGGTTGTTGTGACTGCTGTTGCCTTCCTCTGAGGCTGACCATGTTGTTGTTGGGGAACTTGCAGACAGGAACCACTCAGCCCATCTGAGGCCACTTCTGTTTCAGTGATCACATTTGTTCATTGGCCTCTGTTATTGACATTTAGTGTTGTTACTGACGATTGAGGTATCGCTGGCATCAGCCTTTAGTCACGTTTCTAACTACTGTGAAAGTCTCAGTTGCTGCTCCCAGCTGAAGTGATACCACGGTAGTGCCATACCAATGCCTGATACCAGATCCACAATTTAAGTTTTTTTTAGTAGAAGTCGCAAACGTTCTTTTTGTCAGCATCATTAAATGTACCCTCCTCATGGTCAATACCCAGCAGGGAACCAAGTCCTATTGAACATAAGAGCTCCATTTTGGACAGTGTAACAATGGCGTATGGAGCAAGAGGTTGACTTGTTGAAGGTCCAGCCTATGTTACAGTTAGTTGCTGGGAGCCAGGATTGGAGATTTGGGTGCTACAATTAGTTTTCAAAAGCAGTGGGAATTTGTACTCCCCATTTGTGACCAAGCACAGGTATTGGCCTAAAGTGAGGACTGGATGAAACTTGAACAACTGACTTTAAACAGGGGGGCATTGATGACAACCCAACCTCTCAAATCTCCCAGTGAGGCAGGAATGTGTGACCGGTGTCTGTGGAACAGAACCTGAGCAGAAATCAGTATCCAAATGAGAATGGGAAGTTGTTTTTTCCCAAAAATAACTTCACTAAAGCAGTTTTCCATATCTTGTTTTTTTTAAATTTTGTTTTGCTTTAAAACGAAAGGACTCGGTTTCTCTTTAACTTTGAACTTTTTAACTTCTGCAGAAGAAATGTCGGCATTCGGCTAGCACTGCCTATGACCAAGGCCTCAGTGATTCGTCGTCCCACTCTCAAGATAAACTGAGCTCCCTGTATGACAAACAGAGGAAGGTTTGTGTAAATCTTGTTTTAACCTCTATATTAGAGCAGATCTAGTGAAGGTTGGAGGGCAGAGTTTGTGGTCAGTAGTGTCATCTCAGTTGTAAAATTGAGAGCAATTGCAAGTATGGACATTGTGCACGGAAAATGCTTGCAATAACTTATTCAGTTTGTTTGAAAATTATACGTTGGGAAAACTTTGGGTGAGAGAATGATTTGAACCAACTGGAAGCACCTCACTCCTCCCCCATCCTATACCCATTGTTAGGGCTTGTGTCTTCAGGAGAGAACATTGAAAAGAAAGATAATTGCAGGTTGAATTTTTCAGCATCATGATTTCCTACTTGGGTTTATATTTGTGTTCTGGGGAAAAGTGTTAATGTCTCACTTTGCTTTTGTCGATTTACATCGTTAGCGGATCCCCCACAAACAAGGCAGAAGTGTTGCATGCAATGTGTTAATCTGCCAATGTTTAATCAGTCTGTTCATTCATGGACACAAAGTCATATTGCTATTAATATGGGCTCTGGATAACTCCAGGCTTTTTCCTGCTGCTGACTTTTTTTATAAAATATTTTCAAGATGTCAGTTGGTTCACTCACATTTTGCATCCAGTTGTGATTTGCTTCTTTTTTGAATGTGTTTTGGCCCAGTCCAGAATCGATTTGTTGTTCACTTTTAAAAATAACACTGAGAAATTTTGCGTTATTGTACCAACAGAGTCACATTAGGTGCAGGCCTTCCAATCTGTTTGTCTATTCTGGCAATACATTTCTGTCATGTGGTGTTTCCAATGCAATCCAGAAAGAGATTTGGGGAAGCAAAGATTGGAGTCATTTTGTGAAAACCAGGAAATAAATGCTTAGCTCCAGTAGCTCGCTGACCTTAGGAACTGGAAGAGTGATACAGGTATTGGTATTTACCTGACTTCAGTGGAGTCCCCTTAGTTGTGACTTCAGAAGATCAGGTGAAGCTGTCAATTAAACCATCCCATGTTCTAGAACCTAGCTCACCTGTGAACAATTCCAGAGACCAGCTAGAATGGATAATGAACACTGATTGTCATGACCAACTGTTAATTGTTTCACTGTGAATATCCTCAATTACGTGAGGAGCATGCCTGATTTTATAATTGGCATAAATATAACAACATCCTAATTTTTCATTATGAAATCAGACCAGCCTGCCAAGTGCCAAATGAATATCAACCAGTCCTCAAAAAAATTTATCCTCCAATTAATGAACATTCTTGGGTTTTAACTATTTAGCCTTGAACTTGCACTTTTCTACCATCAACTTCAACTGTTTGTGGATAACTTCCAGCTTTACTGTTTACTCTGTATGATTATATCTGGATAGTCTGGTGGTACAAGTACTCATCCAAGTGGAAAATCCTTTCTATTTCTGACATTGTGTTGTCCGTTCAAGTCTGTATAATCTGTTTGGTCCAACGTGTTGGTGCTGCAGTAGTTGGGGACTGCACTGATCACACAGATAGATAGTATGAGTGATAGCAGAACCTGAGATGGCTGAGGGTAAGTTGAGTCAGGACACAGTAAGCAGGATTTGGGGTTATAGTGCTTGGATCAGGGGCCCAGGTCCAGAGAAGCGTTGGAACTAATGAATTGCTGAAATGAAAGCTGTGGTGATTTTGGTACGGTGATGGTGTTGGTGATTATCACTAGTTTAATATCTGCAATACATGGGCTTTTGATATGTGTTGTTGCCATTTTATAGATTGTGATTATTGTATTGATAATGTATACTGCGATTTTGATTAATTTATGTACATAATCCTCGTTATTTTGTGTTGATAATGTCTGGTTTACGATGCTTTGCAGTGAGTTGATCGAAATGGCCTATTTACCTGTCACTGAGTGCCACTGTCTCTGTGGTTGTCCTGGATTTGCTGAGAATGCATTACTGGTTTTGATTGCTGTTGGTGGACAGTGTTGTGTTCCTAATAATCTATTCAAATATGGAGCTTTGAAGATGGATTGATGACTGTACTATTGACTCAGTTTATTTTGTTAAATGCATCAGGTGTCAGAATGGCTGAATCTTGTAAGGGAACAAGATTACTTTTTTCCCATTTATTTTGATTTTTGAGAAGTTCCTGCTTTGTTTTCAGACCCTCCATAGTTTGATTCCATCATATTCCTTTAACCTCTGCAAGCCTGACAACCCTCAAAGATCTCTGTACTCTTCTAATTCTGGCCTCTGGAGCATCCCTATTTTCATTCAATCCCTGATATTCACTCCGCGATTTGCAATCCTTCCTTCAGCTGCCTCAGCTCAAATCCCCTTCATAAACCTCTCAGCTTCTCCCCACCACTTTTTAAAGACACTTCTTAAAACATTCCTCTTTGACCATTACCCTTGGCCACCTGCCCTGATATTTCCTTGTGGCTCAGTGTCAAATTTTGTCTGATAACAACATTCCAAAGCATACTCAGGAATGTTTGTACTACGTTAAAGGTGCATTGTGAAATATTGTACCTACTCCAATGGAAGTGCTCCCTCCGTCAACAGCATATATGTTCCCTTTTTACTTCAGTCCAAAAGTACACAGAAAGCATTGGCTATGTTCCTTGAGACTACCACTTTCTGGAAGCCTTTCCCATCTTGATGGATATGACTTATAACTAGTCAGGAGTTATAGAGTTCTGAGCTCATAATATTTATCAGAGCAAAATTATACTTTAAGATATTATTAAAGGCTCTGTTTGGCAATAATCATTCATAAAGAAACTCTGCAAGCTTTATGGTTCTCTAAACTTCAGACATTGTTCCGGTGTGCAGACAAATTATGCAGTTTGTTTTTGCAAAGACAACTGTGAATTAAGGAGGGTGTGTCTCAGTTTCAGTATTTTTCAGTTTTATGCCTGTCATTACTTATAATCTTATTTGACAGCTTCTTAGGGAGGATGTAGAAGGGAGGTGATTCAATTTATTTTCTTTGTGACTGTACTTTTGCAAGCAAGTTGCAGCACTTAAGAATGAACCTGCTTTCGTTAGTTGCACCTCAATGGAGCAATGCAATTGTTTGTCTCTCCTGCCACTGTGGATTGTAATCAACTGTTGAGAAATGGTCTACTCTTCATGGCACCAAATCAATGCTACTTTGAGAGTGCATTTGGCTCCGTTGTTAAGTGGGCTGTAGAGTGTGTAACTCATCAAGTGGAAATCAGAAAGATCTTCAGTTTTGTTCTTGACTAAGTTAGTAGGTCTGAGGTGGTAGGGAATAGGGAGACACTAGAAAGAATACGACAATGGCATCCAAGGTTATGAAGATCCAGCCTGCAGCGAGAGTGGCTAATGAAGCAAATGGGAAATAAGAGCAGGAGTAGGACATTTGGCCCTTTGAGCATGCACCAAGGCCTATCCAACGCTGATAGAGGATCATAAATAAAAACTGAAAGAACTGCGGATGCTGTAAATCAGGAACAAAATTAGAAGTTGCTGGAAAAACTCAGCAGATCTGGCAGCATCTGTGAAGGGAAAAACAGAGTTAACATTTTGGGTCCGGTGACCCTTCCTCAGAACTGATGGTGGCTGGGAAACCGTCGGTTTATATGTAGAAAATAGGGAGGTGGATGGGGTAGGGAGTAAGTAATAGGAAAGAGCCCAAAGAGAGACCAGAGGAGTTGGATAGACAAAGGAGTTGATAACGATCTGGCTAGGAGGGTGAATAGTTGTTAATGGGGACTGTTAGTGACTAACAATGGATAGCGTGTCATTACACACTAATGTGATAACAAGGCCTAGTGAATGGGGTAGGGGGCTAGGACATGGGAGAGTTTAGGCCCTAAAATTATTGAACTTGATATTGAGTCCAGAGGGCTGCAGGGTCCCCAAGCGGAAAATGAGATGTTGTTCTTCTAGCTTGTGCTGAGCTTCACTGGAACACTGCAACAAGCCGGAGACACAGATATTGGCCAGGGAACAGGGTGGTGAATTAAAGTGGCAGGCAACAGGTAGCTCAGGGTCTTTTTTTGCAAGCAGAATGTAGATGTTCTGCAAAGCAGTCACCCAGTCTACGCTTCATTTCCCCAGTGTAGAGGAGACCACATTGTGAGCAGAGAATGCAGTTGACTAGATTCTGGGAAGTGCAGGTGAAGTGTTGCCCTGGGGCTGTGGGGGGATGCTGGGGTGAAGGAAGAGTGGATCAGGGTGTCCCGGAGGGAACAGTCCCTGCGGAAGGCAGACAAGAACCAGACACACTTTGCAATCCCTTCCTTTGGGGAGGGAGTTGGGGGAGTGGAGACACACACTTTTTGTTTTGTCTCAATTCATTCACAGGATGTGAAGGTCACTGGTCAGGCCACCATTTATTGCCCATTCCCAATTGCTCCAATCTTGCACCTCGCAACGACCTGCACTCCAAAACTTCCAGCTGCTTGAGTGTTCTCAATTTTTCTGTTCCTGCAGTTTCTTTGGCTGCGTGAGGCCTAATATTCTAGGGGTCTGTTGCTAAATCTCTCTCTGTCCTGTTTATGGTTCCCTCTTCCTTTAAGGTGCCCATTAAAGCCTAATGCTTTAACCAAATTTTTGACTATTTATCTCAATAATTCTATGTGGCCCAGTATCAATTTATTCTGATAACACCTTGGCACATTGCATTTTAGTTAAAGCAAGCTGTTGTAAATGGTATAGTCTTGGGACACCAATGTTAGGTAGGGAAATAACTAATTTTCCTTTTTAAATAAGTGTTTTTACTCTGGCTCAACGGATGAATGGGTCATATTATTTGGAACTGATTTGGTCGGAGAAGAAAGCTGTCAAAGTCCTGTTCTTTATTGAGTTTGCGGAACCGGTAGTCAGAAAATTTTGCATCAAACAAATGTCAATACTTGCTCTTGTTGTCATTCCTAATACAGTGAAAGAGCTCCCGCTCTCAACACGCATACTCAGAGCCGCTTAGACAAGGTGTTGCAAAGTTCTGACGGCTGTGTCTTTTATAGAAAAGTAACAGGAGAAGGCGGCTCAGCACTTTTGAGTATGTTTGGCCT